ACCCTGGTTGTGTTTCTGCTTTCTTGATAATTTGCTGGAAAAAAAAAACCTTAAAAAGTGCATTTTTTGTAAACTGTCAAGGTTCACGTGTGGTCAGCGGCTGGTCAGAACAAGTTCTAGACAATAAAAGAATCATTTTTAATTTACATTTGATACCAGGATCATCTCCTAAACACGATTCCTTCTGTTTAAAAGGTATTTTCCAACATTAGGTCATACAATAAAACACCGTCTTTATTATTCCCAGTCTGACAGAACGAGAACTGAAAACCATCAGAGGAGAATCTGAACGACTCTGTGAACGTCGTAAACTGGTTTGATCCATGTGATGCTGTGAAGCTGTTTCTCCATTTCACAGCCAGAGGCCACGCTCACGATGCTTGTATTCGACAGTGATTTTGCCACAGAAGGAATCGTGTCTCATAGATGATCCTGGTATCAAACGTCGGTAAAAATGAGACGTTTCATTCGCTATAACTTGCTCTGACCAACCACCATCACACATGCTGACGTGAGCCTTGGAAGTTTACTCAAAATGCACTTTTTGTTCGGTTTTCTCACGTTAAACTGCTGAAACTATGATACATCCCATAAATGCCGATGCTCAAAGTAAGCTGCGGAGAGAAATCACGGTGACCAAAGATGAGATTAAGTCGGGAAAATTATTTTGGTTTTTCATCCCTGGTAATTCCACGCCTCTATTTCCTGCACTGATGAAGTTATGAGGCTCAGAAATGATGAAGAAAGTAAATTAAAAGGCGCAAAATGTCAATCTGCTGAACCTCGAGGGCCTTTAACTCAATAAATACTCATACTACCAAGGTAAAATGTTGCATAGCTTCATTAAATATAAAGTTATCGTACATAAAAATGCAGCTGATTCCTTTTGTGTAATAATAACCAGGCGTTGATGGAGTTTTGATGCAATGACGCAAAGTCCTTCCTGTTTCTGGGAGGCTTTTACTTTGAAAATATCTCTCTTGTTCTGGTTCTAGCTTGTAAAATCTCTCTCCTATAGTGTACATTTGAAATGTGCAGAATGTTTGTTCGTTCTTGTGACTCCATTTTGGTCACAATTGGTTATTTTGGTTCTAACAAGACCAGACATCTATCGAAAGGGTTCTCGTGTCTGGATCCATGCATCAAATATGATAGAAAATGGTGATTTTGCTCCAAAATAAGATTTAAGAAGTGATTCCCCCACAGTTACACCTCGCTGCGACATGGTTTTTACCAGTTTGGCTGTCAAAAAGCAGATAATTGGCTTTTTAAGGGTTTGGTTATACGACACTGGAGTGCCTATAACATCTCTGATTCCTTCTTCTTCTTTGTTTGTCCCATCTTTCTTCCTATAAACCACCCCAGAAGATAGTCCTCAGTCAGCTGCTTCAAGTTCGATCCCACTTCTGCTTCTTCCAACCGACGGAGGTGAAGCCAACGCGACGTTTTCCCGTCAGCGCCCACAGCCGACTTTCACAAAGAGGAATCAGCAGAATTCCTCGGTACGTTCCCACCAGTCGAACCCAAACTGCAGATCCGCTGTCCACAACGACGACGAAACCACCGGCGCTCACAGTGACGAAGGCAGAAAAGAGAATCTGACGCCTCTGGATGTAGGAACCCAAACCAAACCAGACAATGGAAACTTCAGCCTTCTCCGGAGCAGCCCAGTTATCTCCAGACGCAGCAGGCCCATCTCCTGGACTGGAGGAGGAACCGGGAATCCAACAAGGTGACTAGATCTACGGTCGTGAGTAGTGATGCACGATATTGAAATTTTTGACCGATACCGATATTAAGATTTCTGATATCGCCGATAACCAGTGTTACCGATGTCGATATTCAGTTTTTGTTCACACCGAAAAATGAGTGTAAGTGTGAGAACGTGACGCCCAAACTAGACCACATAGTCTTCTTTATTATGTAACAAAAGTAAAACAAATTTGAACATATTTAAGTTCAAGTTCAGGACCATTTAAGTAAAAACATCTGTGAAATAGCAGCAACATCAAATGTAGAGACGAAGGCGCTATCGTTAGACAATCATCGGCTAAATTTGTTCATCGGACCGATACCGATATATCGGGAAAAAAACACGAATATCGGCCGATTCCGACGACATATCGTGCATCCTTAGTCGTGAGCTAAAGTTTGGTGGTTAGCATCGTTACCTCACAGCTAGAAGGTGGGGGCACCGGGATCTTTCTGCATGTTGTCTCCATGTTCTCCCCGTGCAGAGTGGGTTCTCTCCGGGTTCTCCGGCCCTGTGATAGACTGGTTACCTGTCCAGGTGAACCTGCCTTCACCATGAGTCAGCTGGGATAGACTCCAGCCCCCCACCACCCTAGTGAGGATTAAGCGATGGATAGATGATGGATGGATGGATGAGTTTTGGTGCTTTTCAATTAATATTTCCATCAGACTTGTGACATTTTCAGGACTGAAGAACACATTAAAGTTCTGTTAGAAACTGCAACTGAACCAATTTGACATCCAGTCCAGGTGTCCCAATCTAAAGCCAATGTCCTGCTTCTCTACAACCGACTCTGAGCGTCCATATTATGGGAAATATCAAAGCTTCAACAGTAAAACTGCATCGTGAGACATATATTCATAGAAACAATCACTGGTACCCTGGTTGTGCTTCTGTTTCTTGATAAAAAACACTAATATCGGCCGATTCCGACGACATATCGTGCATCCTTAGTCGTGAGCTAAAGGTTAAGTACACTTGTGTATCGTGGCAGTCGTGACTTTCTGCAATTCTACGGTTTCATTTTGCTTTTATCCGAAGCGACATACATCTGAGAGTCGATACAACACGAGCAAGGATCCAGTCAGTTTCAAATGTCTCCTCTAACTGTTGATTTTCTGCAATGAAACCTTTAAAAACGCATGCGTCACAAAAAAACATCTTGAATTTAAATTCTTAAAGGTCTTCTGGAAATATGACTAAATCTGGTGGGTCAAAAATATACATACAGCAACTAGAATGACCAGTTTTGGTGTTGGAGAAATAGAGTTAATCAAATTCTCGTAGCAACCTCTTAACTTCTCGTAACATTTGACCACAGCTGGCGACTCCTCCGAGCCAAGTCAAATATAATCCACTCACTGGACTCAACCACAAACACTGCAGTGGGAAAGTCTCAGGAAAAAGTCAAATCACTGATGTGAACAAGTCAAGAAAGTCACTTGGAGCCATTTTAAAGCAGCTACAGATCCTAAAATCTGTGCAAACAATTGTTTTTTTTTAAGTACAAACTGCGCGGTACAGTTGTGTCGCTGCCACAATCAGGACAGGAAGCAATTAAAAGAGAAGCGACAGCAGGAAGAAGGTAGAAATGAGCTCAGAAAAAACGTAAACATGTTAAGAAAAATACACAAATGTGAAAAAATACAGATTTCTGTGAATGCGCACAGCGTCACATATGTCATACACATTAAATGACAATATGGTGTGATTTTAAACAACTGAACAGACGACAGAAAGATCTGCTGCCAGAGTGTTGCTTTGATGCTTTGTCCACTAGATGGCGCCACAGAAAAGCCTTTTTAAATCCTCCACATGCTGCAGTTTGGATTTAACTGACTGCAAACTGAACAGCTTAAACACAAAAGGTGATTCAGACGAAGCCCGTAAAACTTTAAATTAAACTCCGAACTGCAGTTTGTTTTGTTTCTGGTGAAATCCCAGACCAAGGTGTCTGACTTCCTTCATGAAAGTCAGCGTTTGACGCTTCTGATACTCGACGCGCTTGAAGAAACAGGAACCGAGATGACGAACACGGAGGCTTTGTCAGATTTATATTCGTGAGCTTCGGTTTAATACGTTCCTGTAAAAAAGGAGAAACGCGAATTTTCAATTTCTGCTGCAAGTCCAGAAGTTGAAACCACTTTTAATGTCAAACAAACAAAAGTTATGTTGTTGTTCAACCAACCTCTTCCTTCTTTTCATGTAAACTTGTGCTTAAGCATAAATCTGATCTTTTAAAACATTTTTTTTCCTGAATGTTGATGTGACACGTTGTCGTTCACGTCTCATGTATCAACTATTATTTCAAGTTCTTTTAAATTCTAAAAACTTTTTTTCGAAATTTTAAGCTTTGTTCGAACATGAATATCTCCGGAACTATTAAAGATAAAAGCCTGAAATTTTCACCGCTATATCCCATCATACCATTGATTAAAAGTCTGCAATATTGGACATGTAGCTTCAATACGCTTTGATCATCGGTTAGATGAAATATGACACACACAAAAATAATTTAAGTCCCATTATTTAGCTCATATTAACAAAAAAACGATAACGCAGACGTCAACTAGTGATATTTTCTGAATCATATCTAGCTGCATGACACAAGAATACAAAACAGAATATATAGAATGATTTTTAAAATGAAATATTTTGTCAATAACAAAAAGCAAGTTTATTTTTTTTTTACTTTCATAAGTGATCGAGCAGGTTTATCAAGTTGTACCGCAACAACAAAAGCTTTGCAAGGTAATGATCGGAGACGAAGTGGGGTTGCAAAATAATTCCTAAATCGTTGACATGATGAGAAATAAATTCATAAATTTAAGGGATTTATCTTTGTCAGATGATGTCGTTCAAACAGCCTCAAATTTCAATGTGCAAAAAATGTGCTGAATGGGCAATTTTTTAAGATGAAATCATCTTGAAAAGTTTTTGATATATAAAGCTGAAACTTCACAGATACCATTTTAAATATCCACAGTTTATAATAAAAAAGGTTCAGATAGTTGAGTAGAAGGACAGTGATGATTTGAGACGGATGAACCCATCTGTCCTTTTTGCGACTAAAGTGAAATATTACATCTTCCAGCTCCGACTCTCCATCTCCTGCCTCTCTGCGTCCTATTGTGGAAGACGTGGGATCCAAACCGAGCTCCTGCTGCCGCTCAGTTTCAGTCCAGGCGGACGAGAAGCAGCGCTGCATCTCTGCATCGTCGGATCTGAACCGCCTCCTGACTGACGAGCACCTTCCTGACGGTGGACGGCAGGGATCAGCTGAGGAGCACCGAGGGCCTCAGTCAGAAGGTTCAACTGGTTTAATTGTTACTGGTTTGTCTTTAATTTGTGTTTTATGCAGGTTACGAAAAATAAGACTTCTTGGTTAAGGTTGTAGAAAGGTCCAAAGTTGCCGTCTTGGCTTCGTAAACTTTGTAAAAGCTCCACTCTGAAGTCCTTAAACAACTTCATGTGTTGGCAGCTGTGAGAAGATGCCACAGAAGTTTCCAAACACTTGTACATTGTGTAGGATTGAGCGGTGTATAGATGATGGATGGATGGATGGATGGATGGATGGATGGATGGATGGATGGATGGATGGATGGATGGATGGATGGATGGACATTGTGTTTCCATTGACTCCTAGAACTCAGAATCTTCCATGATGGAATCACTGAAGCACATGAATCTTAGTTACAAAGAGTCACCATGCGTTTTGGTTCTTTTTCAAAAACGTATCATAGGCCTTCAAGAAATATGACAAAATCTTCTGGGTCAAAAATATACATGCATTAGTGCTACTATTTGGTAAAAATGTTCTTTAGCGATTTTATCTTTGACTCCTCTTGACAGAATTGGTGCAGTTAAACCAAATATAAACTTATTTCTTCACCACAGTAAGCAGGTTGTCAGCAGGGTTTAGGTCAGGACTTTAGGGAGACCAGTCTAGAACCTTCATTCCTGCCTGATTTAAACATTTCTTTACCACTTTTGATGTGTGTTTGGGGTCGCTGTCTTGTTGGAACACCCAGCTGCATCCAAGAACCAACCTTCTGGCTGGTGAGTTTCGGTTTTCCTGGAAAGACGCTGCCACCTCCATGCTTGATGGTAGGTTTGGTGTTTTGGGGGTTGAAGGCCTCACCTTCTCTCCTCCAGACATGCTTCTGCTCATTGGTTGAACCTTTGACCCTCCTCTTGACAGAATTGGTTCAGTTCAACTAAATTAGTTGTCTTTCTGACCCAGACTCATTTCTTCTCCAGTCCACAGGTTCTTGATGGGTTTCAGTCAGATTTAAACATTTCTTTACCACCTTTGATTTGTGTTTGGGGTCACTGTCTTGTTAAAACACCCAACTGCATCCCAATATTGTGGCTGATGATTTGAGGTTTTCCTGAAGAATGTGGAAGTGATCCTCCTTCTTCATTATTGACTTTGTGTAAAGCTCCAGGTCCATGAGCAGCAAAACAGCCCCAGAGCATGATGCTGCCACCTCCATGCTTGGTGGTAGGTTTGGAGTTTGTGGGGTCTAAAGGCCTCGACTTCTCTCCTCCAAACATATTTCTGCCAAACAGCTCAATGTTTTGTTTCATATACTTTGTACATCACCAAAACTGATAGTTCAAGTTGCAGAATGTATATTTTTGACCCAACGACATAGTATTTTCACAACAGTGGAGATAATTAGATTGTGAAAGTAGCAATACTACAATATTCCATTTAAAATGTGAGCACCAAAGGGTGTAAGTATCACCAGAAACCATTTAATTCAGCTGTACCTTTGCTCCTATTGGTGTGGTTTTAGGTGTGCTGAGCTCAACACAACCCGTCAAAGAGCGACGGTGCAGCAGTATCCCAGATTTCTCTGCAGACATCTTCAAGACCAGCTGTGATCTGGAAAAGGTAACTTCTAGCACAGTTAGCAAAACCGGTTTAAAAAAATATAGCGATTTTTATTCTCAATTGTCATGATGTCGGTGCTGGTTAAAACATCTTTGGATGCACCAAAAGTTCCTCGATGCAGGACAAAGCCTTCCTGAACTCCTCCAACCAATTAGAGGAAAGTTGTTAGATGTTCTCAGCAGTACTGATGGTAATGATGGCGGACTGGTGCAAATGTGTGCAGGAGAACGCTCATTTCATCGTGGTGGACATGGTGTTGGAGATGCTGGAAGGAGCCAAGTGGTCTCTGAGCTCCAATCGATGGACCTCCAACAAGCACTGCGAGATGTGCACAAAGAGTCGCACAAGCTCTGCACAGGAAACACGCAAACTGATACGTAAAACATACAAACCGGCGCGAAGCTCCAGCGTTTGGGACGCCGAGAGAGAAAACAGCAAGCGCAGACGTCCAGACGAAGAAAGAAAGACGCCAGGAGGAAGTCAGGAGGAAACAGGAAGCGACGAAGCTGAACACCCTGTAAAGACTTTCTCTGTTCTGTCCACTGACAGCGGATTTGAAGGTAAAAAGATTTTCTGTTTTCTGACCAGGAAACGTTGGTACTTAGACGTTGCTTGTCTGTCAGTGGCCTCACATTGTATCTGAATGTGAACGAAGGTCAAAAACATTTAGAAATACTCGTGTTTAGTAAAATATTTGTCTAAGTGTGGACAAGGGATGTTTAAGTTTTACATTTTCCCCCCACATAGTGAAAATGCAATAAAAACAGGTGGATGAACACATAAATACGGCTGCATTTTCACACATAAGAAATCGACTTACTGGGTTTTTGAGACTTTTTTTTCTTTTTTGACTCTTTAATTACAGGCGACATATCTGGATTTAAGTATTTGCTGTAAAGTTCCACAGTTGCTACTAAATTTAAATTAGCAAAAAATATGATTTTAGATTTCAGATATAGAATGCTTTTTCCAGGCAAAATATGTAAATTAAGGACCGAAAAATGTAAATTTATTTTAAAGATGTTCCCATGTAAGATTGCAGAAGAAAAGTAATAATTTACATGTTGACTGTTAAAAAACAACAACAACAACAAAACCAGACCAAAATTGCAAACACTAGGTTGTTCTTTTACATTTTGTGAACATAACATCACTGAAATTAGCTAAAAATGTTGTTATTTTACAGATATTTGCAGCTATTTTCATAGTTTGTACGGCTACTAAACGTATTTCTTTCTGGCATCTTTGCTTTTCACATATAAG